ACAGTATCTGTGAAACACAGTAAAGTGAGGTGAAATAAAAACAGATGTGCCTGTACTTTCTAATTATTCCTAATTCTTTTGCTATATTTTTTCCTAATTATTATTAATTTTCTTTTTTTGAGACAGATTCATTTTGTTGCCCTTGGTAGAGTGCCATGGCATCACAGCTCACAGCAACCTCAAACTCTTGGGCTTAAGTGATTCTCTTGCCTCAGCCTCCCAGGTAGCTGGGACTACAGATGCCCACCATAACACCCAGCTATTTTTTGGTTGCAGTTATTGTTGCTCAGCAGGCCCGGGCTGGGCTCAAACCCTCCAGACTCAGTGTATGTGGCTGGCACCGTACACACTGAGCTACAGGCACCGAGCCATTTTTTCCTAATTATTTTACTACATTTTGTTGTTTTCTGTGCTCTTGAGGTTATTTACATCTACTATATCTGTGGGGTAAAAATACTATACCATGGTGTTGGTAGCTCTTCCCAACTCTGCTTTTCAGTGACCTCAGGTTTGTGGCCTGAAATCAGCCATGGTGGGAGTATTTATACCACAGAAATTGTCTATTGCTACTAATCCCAACCCTCCCGGAGCCACTCATTAAACATTTACCAGCACCTTTCTGGAAAGCCCTAGGGAATCTGAGGGGAAGGCAGGATCCTATACAAGATGTCATTTGTGCTGTATTCTGGCCCTAACAAAGGGCAGGCAGCCTCCCTGACTGACCCACTGGCCCACCCACAGATGAGGAGCTCTATGCTGGTGTGTACATTGATTTTATGGGCACTGATGCAGCCATCTTCCGCACACTTGGAAAACAGACAGCCATGCGCACGGATCAGTACAACTCCCGGTGGCTCAATGGTGAGTGCAATCGTGTGTCTTGAGTGTGTCTGGGATGTGGATTTGGCAAGGGGATCACAAGGAAACACACGTAGGGGAATTTTCAGCATGTGACTAGCTGGGGCAGCAGTAGTTTCTCTTCTAGAGAAGAGTTGGAGGTGTCTAACTCTGGTGAGGGATTCTACTAGGGAAAAGGGATGTCATTAGAGTGGAAGTTCACCCAGCTCACCCTGGCTCACCTGCAGACCCTTCGTTCATCCATGCGGAGCTCATTCCTGACAGTGCAGAGCGCAATGATGACAAGCTCTACTTTTTCTTCCGTGAGCGGTCAGCAGAAGCACCGCAGAGCCCAGCCGTATACGCCCGCATTGGGCGTATCTGCCTGGTATGCTGCCCACCACTCTGGCAAGTCCTGGCTCTGTCAGCCCTGGCCCACCTGGGTCTTGGGGGCAAGTGAGTTGATTTGACCTCACCCATACTCCCCCAGAATGATGATGGTGGTCACTGCTGCCTGGTCAACAAGTGGAGTACATTTCTGAAGGCACGGTTAGTCTGCTCCGTTCCAGGCGAGGATGGCATTGAGACTCACTTCGACGAGCTCCGTGAGTGGCCAGCATGCAGGCGCAGTGATATGGCTACAGTGGGAGGGGCAGGGGTTGGATGGGTGGGCAGAGAGCCTTTGGTGGGCTTCCTCCCTGGGCAGGACTGGGGCTCCTGCCTTAGGCACCCTTCCAGTACCTTCTCCCTCTGTCCCCAGAGGATGTGTTTGTCCAGCAGACCCAGGATGTGAGGAACCCTGTCATTTACGCTGTCTTTACTTCCTCAGGGTGAGGCTGGGGTGGGTCTAGCAGTGGCAGGGTGTGGCTGGATTGAGGGGGCTATGATTTGGGGGGACCCCAGCCTGGTGGCCATCTGTGGAGTAAGGGCAAGCTGGGGAAGGCCCTGGGTCAAGGGCCTGCCCCACCCACAGCAGCAGCCTCCCCTGCACACAGCTCCGTGTTCCGAGGCTCTGCCGTGTGTGTCTACTCCATGGCTGACATTCGCATGGTCTTCAACGGGCCCTTTGCTCATAAGGAAGGCCCCAACTACCAGTGGATGCCCTTCTCAGGGAAGATGCCCTACCCACGGCCTGGCACAGTAAGGACCCCACTCACCCTAACTTTCCTTTTCTTCTCCTAAGAGGCCTCCTTTGGGCCAGGGCCTTTGCTAACATGGGCTTCACCATCCTGGAGCTCACAGCCAGTGGGGTAGTAGGCTGTAACACACATGAACCAGTCATTCACACATAGCATCACGCTGTAGAGAGACCCAACCAGGATCCTGAGACAAAGATGGAAGGCTAGGTGTGGTAGGCTGCTCTGCATAGGGCCCTCTGAGAGGCTGTTTGGGAGCTGAGGGTTGGAGGGTCTTACAGGCAAAGTGGGAGGCAGGCTGGAGGTTAGCTTAGCTAGTGAACAAGGAAGCAGGTGGGGATGGGCTCAAGTCTCTGCTGTGGTGAGAGGAGTTTCACTTTCTCTTGGTATGATATGGGCCGCTGTAAGAGTCTTAAGCAGGAGGCTCAGCGCCTGTGGCTCAAGCGGCTAAGGCGCCAGCCATGTACACCTACTGTGGTGGGTTTGAATCCAGCCTGGGCCTGCCAAACAATAATGGCTGCAACCAAAAAATAGCCGGGCATTGTGGTGGGCGCCTGTGGTCCCAGCTACTTGGGAGGCTGAGGCAGGAGACTCGCTTGAGCCCAGGAGTTGGAGGTTGCTGTGAGCAGTGAAGCCATGGCACTCTACCCAGGGGGACAACTTGAGGCTCTGTCTCAAAAAAAAAAAAAAAAAAGTCTAAGCAGGAGAGCCATATAAAGTTCCAACTCCATGTGGTCAGGACTGGGATGGGGGAGCTAGTTTTAGATGGAGTCAGGGAAGGCTTTCCCCCAGGGGTTACCTGGAATTAGAGGGTTGGCTGGAGTTAAGCTGGGAGGATGGGGAGCAGGCTGAGCCCTAAGTGGAGGCTGAGCAGCCTCAGGGAGGGGAGAGAGCATGCCTGCTGTGTTAGGAGGGAGACCATGAGGCCAGAGAGGAAGGAGATAACAAAGTGGAGAGAGGACATGGAAGGGAGTGGTCAGCTCTGAAAATGCTGCCACAAGGTCACTTGAGGCCAGAGAGGTAGTTGTGGGATTTAGTCACGTGGGACCTTGGGACCTAGGCCAGAGCAGGACCTGCAGATGAGTCATGGGTAGGGCAGAAGCCTGAGGGGGTTGTGAGAGGAAGAGCAAGGAGAAGTGGTGGAGATTGACAGTACAGAGGCTTCTTCTAAAGCTGAGAGTCCATTGTGGCTTGCTCAGGCAGCCCAAGACTGACACTCATCACCTGCCTGCAGTGCCCTGGTGGAACCTTCACGCCTTCCATGAAGTCCACAAAGGACTATCCCGATGAAGTGATCAACTTCATGCGCAGTCACCCACTCATGTACCAGGCCGTGTACCCACTGCAGCGGCGGCCCCTGGTGGTCCGCACAGGTGCTCCCTACCGTCTTACCACTGTGGCTGTGGACCAGGTGGATGCAGCCGATGGGCGCTATGAGGTGCTTTTCCTGGGCACAGGTACCCACTGCTGCTCCCAGCCCCTCTGACAATGGGCCCACTGGGTTGGGGATACAGATCCAGGCGACTGGGACCTGACCTGCTAGAATTCAGGGCCAGCTCTGTCATCCTTATCCTTTGGAGTCTTCTCCCTATTGCTGGGATATCAGAGCCTAGGGATGGGAAACTCCATTCCTTCCCCATCCCCATGGGTCCAGGAGAGCAGGGATGATGGGAATCTAGGGACCCTTATATGGCAGGAAAGGGGTGGAGACAAATGTTAGACACCTCCAGGATACATGGATCCGAATACTGACTCATGTGGTTATGTGTACACACACCCAAGTATGCCCACCACAGTTCCAGCAACACAGGAATGCCCCAGTGTCCTGTTCTCAACAAGGCCCAAAATGAGAGTCTGGGTTGAGGCCAGGTCCTGGCCATGATCCCTTCTGCTCTCTTCCCCTCATCCTGGGGAAACCCTACAACTTCAGCACAGAGCTCCTGCTCCACTTCCCTAGGAGGGTTTGGGCCCTGGTGGGGAAGGGGCTGAGGCTGGTGCCCCTTCCCCAGCATCCCCAGCCCCACTGAGGCCCTACCCGGCCCGTTCCAGACCGCGGGACAGTGCAGAAGGTCATTGTGCTTCCCAAAGATGACCAGGAGATGGAGGAGCTCATGCTGGAGGAGGTGGAGGTCTTTAAGGTAGGTATGACACCATGCAGTCCTGCTCTTCCCATGTTTACCCTCTCCAGTCTTTTTTTTTTTTTTTTTTTTTGATTCAGAGCCTCAAGCTGTCCCCCTGGGTAGAGTGCCGTGGCATTACAGCTCACAGCAACCTCCAACTCCTGGGCTCAAGCGAGTCTCTTGCCTCCGCCTCCCAAGTAGCTGGGACCACAGGCGCCCGCCACAACGCCCGGCTATTTTTTGGTTGCAGCCGTCATTGTTGTTTGGCGGGTCCGGGCTGGGGATTCGAACCCGCCGCCTTAGGTGTATGTGGCTGACGCCTTAGCCGGTTGAGCTATAGGCGCCGAGCCACCCTCTCCAGTCTTAGTGCTTGACCTTAGATCTCTAGGTCAGAGCAGGGGGATAGTCCTTGGGGCGTCACAAGCTGATCTTTACCTTCTTCTAGGACCCAGCACCTGTCAAGACTATGACCATCTCTTCCAAGAGGGTGAGTGAGTCTTGGGCAGTTGGAGTGATGTGGGGTGAGGCCTATATTCCCTAAAGGTCATGCTTATGGCACAGGGCTGGGGAAACTGAGGCATGGAATTAAAAGAGTCTAGCCCATGTGGCTACTGTGGGAACTGACAAGCTCTTTCCTCTGCCTCCAGCAACAACTGTATGTGGCCTCAGCTGTGGGTGTTACACATCTGAGCCTGCACCGCTGCCAGGTGTATGGGGCTGCCTGTGCTGACTGCTGCCTCGCCCGGGACCCCTACTGTGCCTGGGATGGTCAGGCCTGCTCCCGCTATACAGCATCTTCCAAGAGGTGTGGACCCCATGCCCTTAAGATTTTAGCTACCAGACCCAGGGCCCTGTCCTGGAGGATGTGATATTACCTTGGGGGGGGGGTCTGTGGAACGCAGGATGTGATATTACCCTGTGGGAGTCTATGGGACACAGGGCTCTGCCCTACGTTCAGGGGAACAGGGACCTAGGGGGAAGGTTCCTGGGAGTACTCCTTCAGGAGCTTTCCTCATCCAGGCGGAGCCGCCGGCAAGATGTCCGCCATGGAAACCCCATCAGACAGTGCCGTGGATTCAATGCCAATGGTGAGTGTGCTGGGCCTCCCCCATTGCAGAGTCTTGTGTAACACATGTAGCTGCTCACAAGACTCCCCATCAAAAGGATTCTCTGACGGCTGATTGAGGGCAAAGGGGGTATGGGTTTTTGGAGATGGGATATCCCTGATCATCCCTTCAAGGAAGGGATGCCCCTCTGTGCCTACGAGGTACCAGCCAGCAGGCTGCCCTGAGGTGGTGCTGCTTTCACCAGCCCCTCTTGGTCTACAGCCAACAAGAATGCTGTGGAGTCTGTACAGTATGGAGTAGTAGGCAGTGCAGCTTTTCTGGAGTGCCAGCCCCGCTCACCCCAAGCCACTGTTAAGTGGCTGTTCCAGCGAGATCCTGGGGACCGGCGCCGAGAGGTTAGTTTCTGAACCCTGCAGTTCCACACCATAGATATAGGAGTTCCTTGTACAGTGGAAATTCCATATACGTGAAATGTAGCAGAGGCACCAATCTGGGGCAGCCCTCATTCTATGAAACCAAACCCCTTCTAAGCTTCCTTCCCTACATGTAAATCACTTGAGTGAAACTAGTCATGTGGAAACTCTGTGCGACAGGCCTTATTATATGGAAACCATTTATAGATGCCTCTTTATATAAAAACTCCACATTCAGGGCAAGGGGTAGGGCACTGGCCCCATATACCAGGGGTGGCAGGTTCAAGCCTGACTCCAGCCAAAAAAAAAAAAACAAAAAAAAAAAACTCCACATGCATACTCCATTGATGCTGAACCTCCCTACATGGAAACATGTGGGTGAGCTCCAGTACCTGGAAATCCTATGGGGACCTCATTTTATGGAAATGCCTTACAGGTGTTCCTCTTTATATGGAAATTCTATACAGATGCCCAAGTCTGGTATTCTCATTAAATGGAAAGTCTATGTGTGTGCTCCAAAATTTTCTCATAATACAGAACCCCCTTATGGTTATCCCTCCTAAAATGGAAATATGGATGAATGTCTTATTCAGATATCTCATTATGTGGGTTTTTCCTGGTATATGGAAATCCCACATAAGTGCCTCTACATGGAATACTCACAGAGGTGGTCTGATCTGGGAATTGGCTAGGGCAATGGGGTGGTCACACAGTCTCTGAGCCCCTACTCCCTGCCCCTGCAGATTCGTGCAGAAGACCGCTTCCTGCGCACAGAACAGGGCCTGTTGCTTCGTGCCCTGCAGCTTGGTGATCGTGGCCTCTACACCTGCACAGCCACTGAGAACAACTTCAAGCATGTTGTCACACGAGTGCAATTGCATGTACTGGGTCGGGAAGCCGTCCATGCTGCCCTTTTTCCACCTTTCGCTGTGAGCGCCGCACCACCCCCAGGCATAGGCCCTCCCACGCCTCCTTACCAGGAGCTAGCCCAACTGCTGGCCCAGCCAGAAGTGGGCCTCATCCACCAGTACTGCCAGGGTTACTGGCATCATGTGCCTCCCAGCTCCAGGGAGGCTCCAGGGGCACCCAGGCCTCCTGAGCCCCAGGACCAGAAAAAGCCCCGGAACCGCCGGCACCACCCTCCGGACACATGAGGCCAGCTGCCTGAGCCCTGCAACGGGCCAGCCTAGCCCTCATCCCTTTTAATATAAAAGATATATATATATATATATATATAAAATATCTATATTCTATACATACCCTGCCCCTGCAAAGACAGTATTTATTGGTGGGTTGAATATAGCCTGCCTCAGTGGCAATGGCATCCAAAACTTCAACCTGTGCTGGTCAGAGATGGCAGGAAACAGCCCACCTAACCAGGCTGAGCCAGTTGGCAAAGCCAGGCCAGATCACACAATCTCCAGATTCAGCTGGAAGTCTGCTTGCTCAACAGCCACTGTCAAGATCTATAGGAGATGGGGGGCGGGGGGAGGAAGCAAGCCCTGTTTCGATGAGACATGGACTGGACACCTTTGCTGATGTATGCTATCAACTGTGCTATGGCATAAACATGGATGCCAGGACTGCTTTGGAGACTGGGGTGGGGCTTGGGTGCACTCAGAGAAGGGAAGAAAGGGCCATCACAGGATGCTGACCCCTGCCTGGGTTTGGGGCACTCAACCAAGGCCAGCCCCTTCCCAGGTATTTATTCTCTATTTATTGGGGATAGGAGAAGAGTCCTGCCTGAGTAGGGCAGCCTCTTCAGCACCTTCTCCCTGTCTAGCCAGGGCAGAGCTGCCCCACTCTACCTCCTTAGCTTTTTCTGTGCCACCTTGACTCAGGCTGGGAGAATAGCAGAGGGGCCAGGTGTAGGAGGGTGGAAGGGAGCCCCCTACCCTGAAGGGAGAGGGAGCCATAGTGGAGGCCTGGGGCCTGCAGGGGCTCCCCAGAACTGCCTTCTGCCTGCCACTTCAGGCAATGAGTGTAAATAGCTCTGGGAGGCAGTTGGGTAGATGGGGAGCTCCTGGCAGCCTCTCCTCTGCTGCCCAGGCCATAGCCACCCTTGGGTTCCATCTTGCTAATAAACACTGGCTCTGGGACTAGACTTTGGCTTCTCTCCTTGGTGGGGTGGTGGGAGTTCAGAGCCATACCCGTGGGCAAGGGGAGCCAGGAGGAGGGTTGGCGGGGGTGGGGGGTGGATTGGCCCCATGTTAAAGGCAATAGATAGAAACTGTGTTTAGGCTCAGCACCGTAGCACAGTGGTTACGGTGCCAGCCACATATACTGACCCTGGCGGGTTCAAACCCAGCCCAGGCCAGCTAAACAACAATGACAACTGCAACAAAAAATAGCCACATACACTGAGGCTGGCAGGTTCACAACTGGCCCGCTAAACAACAATGACAACTGCAACAGAAAATAGCTGGACGTTGTGGCGGGCGCCTGTAGTCCCAGCTACCTGGGAGGCTGAGGCAAGAGAATCGCTTAAGCCCAAGAGTTTGAGGTTGCTGTGAGCTGACCATGGCACTCTACTAAAGGTGACAGTGAGACTCTGTCCCCCTCCCCCCCAAAAAAGAAAGAAAAGAAACCATGTTTGGTTTGACAAACTCAGGCTTCTGCACTACACCAAACCCCAGGACAGTGTAAAGGGTTACAGAGACCTCCAGGGTCCACTCTCTGTGTAGGGTGAGGGAGGATGGCCCCCTCACCCAACAGGGTGGGTATCAAACTGCCAGCTTGTAGGAGCCAGAATCCACTTCCCATGTATTCTATTTGAACTGTCCTTCAGTTCTCCGTGTCCAAGGCCTTGACACCCCCTCATGGCCTCTTGAGTCTGGCAGAGTTGAGTACTAAAAAACAGCCAGGGCTCGGTGCCTGTGGCTCAAGTGGCTAAGGCACCACCACCCACATACACCTGAGCTGGCGGGTTCAAATCCAGCCTAGGCCCACCAAACAACAACTGCAACTGCAACCAAAAAATAGCCTGGCGTTGTGGTAGGTGCCTGTAGTCCCAGCTACTTGGGAGGGGAGGCAGGAGAATTGCTTGAGCCCAGAAATTAGAGGTTGCTGTGAGCTGTGATGCCATATCACTCTACCCAGGGCAAGAGCTTGAGGCTCTGTCTCTAAAAAACAAAACAAAACAAAAACAAGTTACAGGGAGGGAGTCCAGCCAGGGGGCTCAGGGCCCTTGGAGGGGACTTTGAGAGCCTAAGATTTGGGTTTTCTGATGGAGGGTTAGGGGTAAGAAGTGTCTAGAGCAGCGGTCCTCAACCTGTGGGTCGCAATCTCTTTGGACTGTATTAAAGGTTCGTGGCATTAGGAAGGTTGAGAACCACTGCTCTAGAGCCTGGGAGCTCAACACTGCAGGCTCAGCCTGAACGATTTCTGCTCAGCACCATGACCCACACTCAAACGGTTCACCAGACCCCTAAACTGAGGCAAGCAGGCCCCAGAGCACCTACAGGGGACAGCAGGAGCAGGGCTCCTTATTCCTCATGCTCCAGGGAGCATCAGACCTTCTCTGGGACTTTGTTACCCAATCTGACAACAGGCCTACAAAACATTCTTTGGAAACATTCTTTGGTGCATCCTGGCCACATGTACACATAACATGTACGTGTAAGCATATATACACATATATATACTCAAGTACAGGCATGTTCATGTATGTGCACAGGGCAAGTACACACCAACAAACATTGCACATGTACATGTATTTACACATTCATGCACAGACATGCAAACCCACACAAATGCTTAAAATATGTGTGCATGAAGAGATGTGCACAAAACCACACTATACATGTGTGTGTGTACTTAAGCTTGCACACATAGCCACATGAAGACTCAAGTAAGAAGAGTGCATGTGCCCACAAAGGCACAAACACACGCAAGAGGCCATGCACCCATGAAGGCACAAACACATATACACACAGGTGTGTACAGACATGTCAAGTCGTTTACTTGGTGCTAATAAAGGACACATACATCCAGGCACAAGAGCAGCATGCACACCCACTGGAGTCCTTGTAGAGACCCTTACAGATCCAGCCCTTGAAATGGGGCAAATGTAATGTCTACCTTGACTCCTTGTAAAGCATAAAATGGTCCAGAGTCACCCAGCCCTTTTCAACCACTACCTGCTGTGAGACTCTTGGAGCCTCCAGTTCCTCATCAGTAAAATAATGGGGCTGATGATATGGGCACTCATCCCCCAGGACCAATATGAGCTTCCAAGATAAGGAAGGTGCTGAGCTTAGGCAGGCAGCAGGTGCTCCTTGCATGCTTCTCCCAATGCACCCTCTTGCTGCCAGCCCCAATCCCACTGCCCTCATACCCAGGGCTCTGGGGCCTACTCTCCCCTCTCTCAGCACTGACCCTACCAACCGTGTCTCCCACTGGGGAGCAGAGGCAGGAATGCCTTCATGGCCTCACCTAGAGAGTGGGGTTGGGGAATAGCTGGGGTGCAGAGTCAGCAGTTGAGGGATTGGGGCCATGCCAGCCTGATTAGAGGCATTGTGGGGGCTGAGCTGGCTTCACCTGTCCTTGTCTCTGATTGGCTTTTAGATACCTCCAGGCCCCAAATCCTACTAAGCAGTTCCACCAGGGTCTGCACAGGTCCGTGGAAAGCCAGTTGACTGCAGGTCCTCCTAGGGCCAGAAAGGGTACCTGGAGAGAGGCCTAGCTCTTGGGATCCCCGGAAGACCCACCTGCCCACACTGTCCCTTTTACTGCTGTTGGGACCATGGGGGCTGGGGCCAGTGCTGAGGAGAAGCACTCCAGGGAACTGGAAAAGAAACTGAAAGAAGATGCTGAGAAGGATGCTCGAACCGTGAAATTGCTGCTTCTGGGTAGGTGTATGGGCCAGATGGGACAACTGCCACCAGGTTAGCAACCCAGGGGCAGGCATGATGCCCTTTAGGAAAATAGGGGTTCCTTGGGAAGAAGCATGACAGGATAGGGTACAGAGAAGAGTGGGAGCCCTGGACAGATAAGGCCGGGCCTGACAGGTGATATCCCAGTCCTTCAAGGTTGATATCTCCCAAAGCCCCTTTCCAGAGGGTTCTGCTCAGGCAACCACTTTTTCCCAGAGTGTGTGCTAGCCACACTCTAGTAAAAGTAACTGCATACAGCACACTTTTGCCCTGATTTGGCTCCCTCAAGCCCTAGCCTTTAATTTGATGGGTCTTCTAAGCAGAGCTTAGAAGCCAGGGGCCTCACTGGGAGCCTCACACCAGACTGCTCTCTTGAGAAGGAGAAGGTCGTGGTCCTCCTGGGAATGGAGAGCCTCTAGAAGCACCCACATCCACAAATGAAAGCCCTTAGGTGCCAGAGCTTTATTGTTTTTTTTTTTTTTTTTTTTTTTTTTTGAGACTGAGCCTTAAGCTATCCCCCTGGGTAGAGTGCCATGGCATCACGCTCACAGCAACCTCCAACTCCTGGGCTCAAGCGAGTCTCCTGCCTCAACCTCCCAAGTAGCTGGGACTACAGGCGCCCGCCACAGCACCTGCCATTTTTTTTTTTGGTTGCAGCCATCATTGTTGTTTGGCGGGCCCAGGCTGGGGATTCGAACCCACCACCTTAGGTGTATGTGGCTGGCGCCTTAGCCGCTTGAGCCACAGGTGCCGAGCCCAGAGCTTTATTGTTAATAGGTCTACAAAGGAGAGAAAGGGAGTGTAGGGGTACTGAGGCCCAGTGGACAGCAGATAAATCGACATCCCTGAGCCTATGGGAAGAAAGGAGCTGATCCAGGCCTGCCTCAAGGTCACTTCCTGACCTCCCAAGGGGAAAGAACAGCTTTAAGAGGGCAGGGCAGGCTCTACCAGAGCTCTCCAGGATCTAGCCAACCAGCTGGAAGTAGGCAGAGGGACCAAGCCAGGACACCCCCCCAGTACTCAAGGCGAAGATGCTAAGCCGAAAATCCCATTAACTGTGCCCAACGTCCTTGTACAGGCAAGCTCAGAAGGAATGTCAGCTCTGTCCTCTCCCTTACCCAAAAGTTCTAATTCCCTCTGAGCCTTTTGAAGACACACTCCCCCCCTTCATGTGAAAAGCAGAGGTTGAAGCATCTGATAATCCCTGCGTGTGTGCAGTACCACAAATTCCCACAAGGTGGCGCTCCAGGATTTAAAAAAATTAACAGCAACAGCGTCTCACTTGACCTCGGTAGAATGCTCTGGCGTCATAGCTCACAGCAACTTCAGTCTAATTCTTGGGCTTAAGTGATTCTCTTGCCTCAGCCTGGCTAGTAGCTGGGACTACAGGCGCCCACCACAATGCTGGGCTATTTTTTGTTTAGCAGGCCCAGGCCGGGTTCAAACCCACCAGTCCCAGAGTATGTGACCAGCACCCTAACCACTGAGCTACGGCGCCCAGCCTCCAGGATTTCTTCACTTTGGTCTCACAGCCAATAAAGGCTGCCTATACTAGGGTCTAGTGGACTCCTCACATCCCAGCACAGTTGATATTGTTGGCTCCCTGATTGGCCCTTGGTTGTCACTTCCTGACATTTATAAACGTTTTTGCTCCTGGGGCCTCAGGACCTAACTATGGATTGGCGTAGAGAGGTGGGGGCAAATACAAGAGTGACTGTGGATCGAGCTGACTGGCACCCAGGCCTCTTCCCCATCCACCTAACCAGCTCAGGCTAGCCACATCTTCCAAGCCTCATTGCGGGAGGGGGAAGCAGTCAGCTGGGCCCTGAGGTGTTGGCTTCCCTTTCAGGTGCGGGTGAGTCCGGAAAGAGCACCATCGTCAAGCAGATGAAGTGAGTGCCCCTGCAGGTCCCGAGGTCCCTGGGGGTGGGCAAACACACCCACTTGTTCTTCCCAACCCGCCCACGAGGCGCTGACCCTGCTCACCCCGGCCACAGGATTATCCACCAGGACGGGTACTCACTGGAAGAGTGCCTCGAGTTCATAGCCATCATCTATGGCAATACGTTGCAGTCCATCTTGGCCATCGTGCGCGCCATGACCACACTCAACATCCAGTATGGAGACTCTGCCCGCCAGGTGTGCCAAGAAGCAGGCTGAGTGGGGCCTCTGAGACTCGAGGTGCCTGTCTGGGGCTGAGTCCATGATTACCACCAACCACTCCTACCCT